GAACCACATAAATAAACATGAGCTGAACGAGTTTCTAACATGGCTTAGTCATCAAAGTTACTGAGATTCACTGTCAAACGCGTAGTGTGTGTGTGAGAATGTGTGTGTGTGAATGTGTGTAGTGTGTGTGTGTGTGTGTGTGTGTGTGTGTGCGCGTGTGTGTGTGTGTGTGTGTGTGTGTTGTAATGGCTCTATTTTATTAGAGCACAGAGCGCATTGATATGCTGTGAGATGTTATTCGCATCTCAAAAGGAGTTCCAGTAAAGTTATGAGTATCAGGCCATGTTCAGATGCTCCTGCATGTTCTCTGTTTAATCATTAAATTCTTTAAATGATAAAATGATGTTTATTTGTGTTCGTAACTCTATAGAGTAAAATCCCAAAGCTACATGTTAATTTTTAAACTGCACATTGTCATGTTGTCTTGGTGAGGAACTCTATAGGAAAATCTTTGTTTACATTATATATTTATGAAGAAAAATGAAAGAACATCAGCCAATATATCAGATATATCAGATTATTAAATCCTCTAATATCGGTATCAGTATCAGCCTTAACAGCCACACGTTCCCCCCTCTGCTAATGCTGAGGCTGCCTGTGACACCCTGCACACAGCTGTGAGCAGGCTACAGACACAGCACCCACAGGCACTTATGCTCATCTCTGGAGACTTTAACCATGTCTCTCCATCCTCCACTCTGACAAACTTCTCACAGTATGTAACATCACACCAGAGGCAATAAAATACTGGATCTGTTTTATACCAACACCAAGGAGGCATATAACTCATCTCCTCTCCCTCCTCTTGGAAGATCAGATCATAACCTGGTCCATCTTCTGCCTGTGTACAAATCACTTGTACATAGGGAGCCAGCACAGTGAAGAAATGGTCTGGGGAGACTGAAGAGGTTTTGAAGGACTGTTTTGAAACAACTGTGTGGCAGGAACTGTGTAACCTTTATGGGGAGGATATTGACAGTCTCACTCACTGCATAACGGACTACATAAACTTCTGTGTGGAAAACCGTGTACCCACCAAGACTGTTCGGTGTTTCCCCAACAAACCATGGATTAACCCTGATATAAAGGCTCTCCTGAAGGAGAAAAAGAGGGCCTTCAGATCAGGTGACAAGGAAAAACTGAGAGCTGTACAGAGGAAGCTGAGAAGAAAAATCAGGGAGGGAAAGGCCAGCTACAGGAAGAAGATGGAGAAACAGCAGCAAAGTAACAACATCAGTGGGGTCTGGAAAAGTCTAAAAACAATCTCTGGACACAAGGAACCCAACCCCCAGGCTGTAGGAGACCAAAAATGGGTGAATGATCTCAATCTGTTTTTCAATAGATTTGATCACTCACCCCTGCCTACACAGTTACCCCTACTGCAAGCTCCTCTTCTGGTCTCTCAGGGCACTGCCCTGCCCCCTCTCCCTCAATTACCCCCCTATTCACAACTCTCACCTTACAGCCACCCACCACTGATCTCTCTGCTGTCAGCTCAACCCCCCTACCTGCACACTCCAGCACCCAGCCCCCCTGCTCCAATCTGTGCCTTACAACAGCCCAGGTGAGAAAGGAGCTCAGAAAGATCAAAGTGAGGAAAGCTGCAGGTCTGCATGACATCAGTGCCAGGCTCCTAAAGTCCTGCGCAGATCAGCAGTGTGGGATAGTTGAACACATGTTCAACATTAGCCTGAAGCTTGGGAAGGTACCACAACTGTCTATCAAACTGGATTCTGGACTATCTCACCAACTGACCCCAGCATGTGAGGGCACAGGACAGTGTGTCTGACATGGTGTTCAGCAGCACAGGGGGCCCCGCTAGGTACAGTCCTGGCACCGTTCCTCTTCACCCTGTACACTGCAGACTTCATGTACAGCTCACCAAACTGCCATCTACAGAAGCTCTCTGATGACTCAGCAATCATCTGACTCATTACAGATGAGGACAACAGAGAGTACAGAGAACTGACCCAGGACTTTGTGGACTGGTGTCTGAGGAACCATCTCCTGATCAACGCGGGGAAAACCAAACAGATGGTGGTGGACTTCCGCAGATACAGTCACTTCCCTCCACCAGTGAACATCCAGGGAAGGGACATTGAGAGGGTGGACTCTTATAAGTACCTGGGGTTTCATCTTAACAATAGGCTGGACTGGTCAGAAAACACAAGTGTACTTCATAGGAAAGGCCAGAGCTGACTCTGTTGACTCTACCTGTTCAGAAGACTGAGGTCGTTTGGAGTGCAGGGGGCACTCCTGAGGACCTTCTTTGACACCGTTGTGGCATCAGCCATCTTCTGTGGAGTGGTCTGCTGGAGCAGCAGCATCTCAGCTGCAGACAGGAAGAGATTTGACAGACTCATTAAGAGGGCCAGCTCTGTCCTGGGTAGCCCCATAGACCCAGTGCAGACGGTGGGAGACAGGAGGATGTTAGCTAGACTAGCATCCATCCTGGACAACAGCTCCCACCCCATGCATGAGACTCTCGCAGTACTGTGCAGCTCCTTCAGTGACTGGTTGCTTCACCCCAAGTGTGTGAAGGAGCGCTATCGCAGGTCCTTCCTTCCTGCTGCTGTTAGACTGTACAACCAGCACTGCTCCCAGTAGAACCTCCTCTTCCCCCCACTAGACCTCACACACCTACAGAACATACTGTGATTTTATCACCTTTTACTGTGTGCAATATAATCAACACTCCATGTGCAATATTTAAAAAAAAAATCTTATAGTGTAAACATTCTTCAGCTTTCTATTTAGAATTGTTTATATTGTTAACTCCTCACCATACCATGTGTAATATAAAACAGTACCTCATGTGCAATAGTCAGGCAGAATATCCTTATAATGTAAATATCTTTTTTTTAATTTATTTATTTATAATTCTTTATTGTGTTATTCTTTGTGAAGGATAGAGTTTATATTTTTTATCTTTTATGTATAGATTTTTAATATTTATTGTCCATACAGTAACAAGTAACAAACTGTAAAAAAACCTTGTTAAGTACTTAACAAAGTTAATTACTTGCTTATTAATTCTCTTCTTGTTACTTCTCTTTTTTTCGTTGCTGTCCCTTTGCTGCTGTAACACTGAATTTCCCCATTGTGGGACTAATAAAGGACTATCTTATCTTATCTTATCTATGACTTTTAAGTGATGGTCTTAATAATATAATTAATCTAAAACATGAACAAAACAGTCTAACAAAACTCATCTATATTTCACTGAATTGATAATTTGTATATTTTGTCTCTGACTTTTCAGGATGAGGCATAACAAACAACCAAATACTGATTTCAGTATTCAGATGTTGAGCATCTGAAACAGTTAACTGAGGACTCGAGTACCTGTTCACATCCCTAGAAGGAAGAGAGGAGGAGGGTGCGCCCTGATGGACGAATTGCTTCACCTGGACTGAATTATCACATTTTGTCTCATTAAGTAAATTTTTAGGGGGCTTGCAGGATTTGAAACTCCACCCCTTCAGAGCTCAACACAGCCAAAGTGCACTACTAGTTGAGGATTTGTGTGTCCAAGTTCAGCAGAGTGAACTTATTCACTCTGGAAGACTGGGATGTGAAAATGTTCATCACAGTAAATGACAATGACATTAACATCATTTAGCTTCAAACATTTTGCTGACTGGACTGTTACAATAAAATCAAGGATTTTTTGTCATTTGTAAAAATGAAATCTTTTACAAACACACACACACACACACACACACACAGATTGAGAAGGCTGTAGTCAGGGTTGAGTTGAATGCGCTTTCTGAGGAGATAATACAAAATTCTGTACATTGGTATTTAGACCTCAGAAGTATCTGTGGAGATGCACATTTTTCAGACATGCTGAGAGTTTGTGTCTCAGTCTCAATCAGATTCAGAATTAAAGCTCATTTCTTGTGTGATATTCATTCTCACAATGAGCTGAATTAAAGTCTGGCTCCACTGTCACACCATATGTTGTAAACACAATATTTTATGCTGTAAGTTCATATTTCTGGGTGGTAATAATAATAATTCATTACTAATGAAAGTTTGTTTCCTGTGAAGAATAAGTTGAAAAATATTTTTTACTTAGAAAATCAACAAAACAAAGTCTGCATCCCTTTTATGAAGGGAAATCTATTCTCTTATTTCCTGCTGTTGGGGATCTTCTGTGTTCAGGGATTATTACTGTCATATCCAACAAGTCTGTCCAGTTCAGTCACTGCAGAGTGTTAACAGTAGAGGAAGGTGAGTAAAAGTACAGCACATACTGGAGAAAGTTTCATTTAATTGATACTTTTCTATTTTTTGTAAGATATTGAAGTAATTTTAGATTCTATTCATTATTGTTTCTTTTGCATTTTATTTTAATGTTTAAAGCCCAACTGTATTTTATCCAATTAGATTCTCTTGTTGCTAACAGATATATTGAGAGTTGATAAATATTTAAATGCCAAAATGTGTTAGCCATAGTTTTCATAAATGTATGTATCATCACACAAGCTTAAAAAATATAATAAATTTATGTGAAATAAAAAATTCTAATTATTTTCAAATCAATGGTGTTTTGTATCTGTCATTTAAGAAATAAACCCGTTCTCTATTATTAGATGTTTATTTTAATCCAAAGATGATCACTGTACTACTGTAAACATTATTATTTTAAACATTTGATCTCTTTTGGCTGTGTCTGGTGCATATAAGCTATATCATAATACAACTGATGGCATATTTCACCCCAAAGTGTTCTACTATTGCTGGTTTTAAAGGGAGGTGCTTAGGTGCAGATTAAATGTACATGCTTGAAAATCTCTACAAAGACAAAAACCTGGCAACTTTGGAGGCCTGGACTACACACTGGTGGTTTCAAAGATCTGAATTTTAAAGATTTGAAAAGAAAATCACCTTGAACACCTGCATAGCTTGAGTCTGACAGAGTAACTTTTCCAGCATATCTACCGACACAACTTCTGAACTTGGAACACTCTTCCTGAAGAGTGTGTATAATTAACTCACTCTAGTTTCTTCATCTTATAGTGTGGATCCTCCAGTAGATCAGAGAGCAGCTTCACTCCTGAGTCTCCAATTTTTTTGTTGCTTAGATTCAGCTCACTTAATTGTGAAGAGTCGCAGATCCTGCAGAGAGAACATTTGAAGCTTTTAGATCTGTTTAATCTCCTATTTTTGTTTTTGTATGTGCATCTTCAAAGACACAATCAGTCAGTAACTCACTGTAGTTTCTCCAGTTTACAGTGTGGATCATTCTGTAGATCAGACAGCAGCTTCACTCCTGACTCTCCTTGTTTATTGTAGTTCAGATTCAGCTCCCTCAGGTGTGAGGAGTTTGATTTCAGAGCGGAAATTAGAGCAGCACAGCCTCCATCCGTAATACCGCAGAGTTCCAGCCTGCAGAGAGAAAAAATTCACAGTTCAGCACTTGTAAAGACAAAGGTAGAAGACAAAAGAATGATCTCCTGCACTCAAAAACATGCTTTTTAAATAGTAAACTCCTCTTAGATGGTTAATTATATTGATTGGTATTTGTGTTATGTGTATTATGACAGCACACATTTTACATTAATTTTTACCCAATTTTCTCCCCAATTTAGTCGTCTCCAATTCCACCCGCTAGTTAGGACTCCCCCAATCACACGATGCTATCAACGCTAGGAGGGTGAAGGCTAACACAGGCTTCCTCCGAGACCTGTGAAGCCAACCACCGCTTCTTTTCGAACTGCCGCTCACGCAACGTCACTGGACAGCCGAACACGCTCGGAGGAAAGCGCCAACCGCCAGATCTGTTACGTCAGCTAACTGACGCCTGCGCTAACTAGCATCGCGCTGAGTGATGGGGGTAGAAGGGGAGGCCATCCTACCCACCCAGACAGAGCGAGGCCAATTATGCTCTCTCGGACTCCCAGCTACGGATGGCTGTAGCATCACCAGGGATCGAACTCGCGATCTCCTGATGATAGGGCCAACGCTTAGATGGTTGCGCCACTCAGGAGCTTTACATTTTTAATGAGCACAGACTTCCACTGTATGTCCAAGTAAGAATTTGTTGGATTGTATGCATAAGTTTCCTAATTCAGAAAATAGCTCATTCTATATACTAAATTAAGCTAAAGAGAGAGTTATGATATGAAGTGATGAAACTTATAGCGACAGAACATGCCTAAACAAACATAGCTACCTAAATGATGTTTGAACAGTGCAGTTAGCTAATAAAGACAGTTTAAACAGTATTTGAAATTGTGAAAGTACCATATTCCTGTGTCACTACCATCAAATTTTGTGTGTGGAGTCTGTAGACTAGATGCTAGCTGTGGTATATCTAACAAGCTAACAGCTCCACAAACTACCTGCTCCAGAATCATAATTTTAGAGGAAATGATATAAATTTGAGAATCTATTCTGTGATGTGTGGAACTGTTAATCCTCTAGTAAAGCTACTCAGTCCTAGTTTGCGCTAGGTGCTAGCAGGCTAACAGCTTTATAAAACAAGGTAGACTCTATTCTGGCAAACTGAAGCTCCACTGACAGAAGTTTAGAGTATAAAGATTCAAATCTGAGCAGGTGAAATGGAGGGACTAGTGTCACTACTGACAAACACTGAATCTAACCTGCTCTGTGGTGTGTTGTGCTGTTAGCCTGCTAGTTAAGTTGGAGCTATTTCTGTTTGTTTTTTTGCTCTGATCATCTGTCCAATCTGCCCAAAAAATATTGTTGAAGTCAAATTTATTTTTATAGCGCTTTTTACAACAGGCATTGGTACGAAGCTGCTTTAAAGAAAATCAAGCAGGGGAAGTAATGTCCATGATTAAATAGTTTGTGAGGAAGGTGAAGTAATGTCTATGATTAAATAGTTTGTGAGGAAGGTGAAGTAATGTCCATGATTAAATAGTTTGTGAGGAAGGTGAAGTAATGTCTATGATTAAATAGTTTGAGAAGCAGGGAAAACAATGTATATGATTAAAGAGTTTGTGAGGCAGGGGAAACAATGTTTATGAAAAAATCATTTATGGGGCAGGTGAAACAACGTCTATGATTAAATAGTTTGTGAGGCAGGGGAAGTAATGTCTATGATTAAATGGTTTGAAAGGCAGGTAAAGTAATGTATATGATTAAATAGGTTGAGTCAGTGCAGGATGATGATCAAGAGGGTCAGAGTTATGCAGGTGAGGCACAGCGTTGGACAGCAGATACAGAGCTGTGCATATATATATATATATATATATATGCTGAAAACCTTGGAATCACTTTTTAATATTTTTCATTATTGTTAAATTTTACTTATAACAAATTACACAGTGCAGATTTAAAAGCTCATGACTTGACAACAAAAGGTACTTCTAGATGTTTTGGTACATATTATTGTCATGCATTCAGCCAGTCCTGAGATGGACAAGATGAACTACATCTCCCAGAATCCTCTGGGGGATCATGTGGCGGAGCTACTTCCCTACACCCAGAGTCTGACTCGGACTCCAATACCCAGACTTCCCAGCGAAGTCACATGACTCCTGACTGGTCCTCATGCTCCTATCAGCGCTCACGTTCACCAGAATACTAATATGTTTCAGCTGTTTCTATGTCGTATGACTCAGATAGTTGAAAAGCAAATCAAACTGAATCATGATAATAAAATCAAAAGGCCAATAACATTGATTTTTCATATTCTAACTATCTATACAACCACAGGAGGCTGTACTCTCCCTGTGAAGGCTACTGAAAACAGTATATGTGTATGTACATGGGGCAGAGAATAACCAGGGACAGGGGCTGCAAATTAGCTTTAATTAGAAGCCCTGTATGCATTATATCTGCTGTATTTTAAGTAACATTGTTTTTCTGTATTGTGCTTGTTAAATAAATATATATAAATCTATAACATATATATATGTGTGAGCTTTTGTTTGTATCTCTTAAATAAATACCTGTAAAACATTGTATGAATCAGGGTTTCTCAACCACTGTGATGGGACACAAATGAGCTATCTGATCTTTAAGCCAGTCAGAATTCTCAAGTTTTCCATGTCAGTCCCTGATAAGAGTCATATTTAAGCAACTAAACTACGCAACTGTGAACATTCATGCATCTTAGGGATAAACACACAGAACTTGAGGTGGAAAACATTGAAAACCCCTGGCATAAAGAGCACTGCTCTAAATTTGATGTGTTTTGTGTGTTTGTGTGTAAAAAAGCAGTAATTCACTCACTGTAGTTTCTCCAGTTTACATTGGGGATCCTTCAGTAGATCAGAGAGCAGCTTCACTCCTGACTCTCCTGGTTTATTGTAGTTCAGATTCAGCTCTCTCAGGTGTGAGGGGTTTGATTTCAGAGCTGAAACAAGAGCAGCACAGTCTTCTTCTGTAATACTGCAGAATTCCAGACTGTAGAGAGAAGAAACTTTTCAAGATTACCACTGAACACAAAAACACAACAATGTAGAAAGCAAAAAGAAGAATAAAACATTCAACTACCATGCAGAACTTTATACAACATGCATGTAGCACACACTTCAGAACACAAAGAACACACTTACTGTAGATTCTCCAGTTTACAGTGTGGATCCTTCAGTAGATCAGAGAGCAGCTTCACTCCTAACTCTCCTGGTTTATTGTAGTTCAGATTCAGCTCTCTCAGGTGTGAGGGGTTTGATTTCAGAGCTGAAACAAGAGCCGCACAGTCTTCTTCTGTAATACTGCAGAATTCCAGCCTGTAGAGAGAAGTAACTTCTCAAGATTACCACTGAACACAAAAACACAACAATGTAGAAAGCAAAAAGAAGAATAAAACATTCAACTACCATGCAGACCTTTATACAACATGCATGTAGCACACACTTCAGAACACAAAGCACACACTTACTGTAGATTCTCCAGTTTACAGTGTGGATCCTTCAGTAGATCAGAGAGCAGCTTCACTCCTGACTCTCCTGGATTACTGTAGCTCAAATTCAATTCTCTCACGTGTAAGGGGTTTGATTTCAGAGCTGAAACCAGAGCAGCACAGCCTTCCTCTGTAATACTGCACTTAGACAGACTGTAGAGAGAAGAAGAAAAAACAGTAAACAGCTCAGCAAAAGTTCACCCAGCAACCATTAGAATCAACACATCAGAACCAGAGTCACAGGAATTCTGAAGGCAGCCCTGGGTACAACTGTCCTGGAATACCTACCTCACCTCATTCATCCTGTAGGAAAAATGCAGATTTCCAAGTAACATACACAACATTTAACATCAACATATATCAAAAGAAATCAACTTAAATGAGAGTTACATTTTTGAAGAGTTCTGAAGTTAAGCTTAAATAAAATTAATAAACATTACTAATGATTAGTGAGATTATATGCAAGTTGTTAATTAGACATTAGAGGCAGGGAGAGATTAAACTAGGATGTCACCACTGTGGTATCTGTGGTAGAAATGCAGATTTTAAAAAATACACAGAGCATGAAAAAAGTGGACAGGTTGCTTTTTGCTGTTATGCACCAAAGATTTGGAATTCTTGGAAATTCACCAAGCACCATAAACTAACAAAAAACACTAAGCAATAACACACACACACACACACACACACACACACACACACACACACACATCAATAATGAAAAATTTCCTAATACAGAACAACCTATACAAATCACTGTCTTTCACACTAAAGAAAAATTATCAACATATCAGGAAAAAATACAAGACTACCTGTAATCTTTCGCTATATATGTTTCACTTCCACTCATATAACTGGATTTGATCAAATAAAAAGATTGTAAATGTGTTCAACTGTCTCTCTCCTTTGATTTCACAGTTTGGGATTTTACCTTTTCAGTAAAAACAAAACCATACCAATACATACATACAGTAACGCATGTAATGTAATAAATGGGAAAACATCAATAAATCAGTTCACAACAGCACAAGAAAAGAAAGTACTCACACAACTTTTCTGGATGCTTTGGCCACTGGCAGCAGCCTCAGAAGACAGTCCTCTGATCTGTCAAATTTACTCAGATCAAACTCATCCAGCTCCTCTTCTGAATTCAGCATCACAAACGCCACAGCTGACCACTGAGCAGGAGAGAGCTCAGCTCCACTGAGACCACTGGAACCTCCTCTGTTTATGTATGTTTGAACTTCCTGCACTAGAGACTGATCATTCAGTTCATTCAGACAGTGGAACAGACTGATTGTTTTCTCTGGAGAGGAATTCTCCCTGATCTTCTCCTTGATATACTTGACGATTTCCTCTTTGCTCTGAGAGCTGTTTCCTGTCTGTGTCATTAGGCCTCGTAAGAGATTCTGATTGGACTCCAGTGAGAGACCCAGAAGGAAGCGGAGGAAAAGATCCAGGTGTCCATTCTCACTCTGTAAGGCCTTGTCCACTGCAGTCTTCAGGAAGTCAGACATTGTTAACTTTTTAAAGAAACCAATATATCCAGTGGTTTGCTGTGGCAGCACGTTTGTGTTGCTGGAGATGACAGAAATAAATGCATATAAAGCAGCCAGAAACTCCTGAACACTCAGATGCACAAAGCTGAAAACCTTCCCCAGGTGCAGCCCAAACTCCTCTCTGAAGATCTGAGTACACACTCCTGAGTACACTGACACTTCTCTGACATCAATGCCACACTCTCTCAGGTCTTCCTCATAGAAGATCAGGTTCCCTTTTTCCAGCTGTTGGAAAGCCAGGTTTCCCAGTGCCAGAATAATCTTTCTAGTCTGTTTATGATCAATGTCACTTTTTCTTTGGTACTTTTGGCTGCTGTGTTTGATCTGAAAGATCAGGAAGTGTGTGAACATTTGAGTCAGAGTCTTGGGGATCTCTCCACTCTCTGCTTCACCCAACATCCTCTCTAGAACAGTGGCTGCAATCCAGCAGAAGACTGGGATGTGGCACATGATGTAGAGGCTTCTTGAGGACTTCATGTGTGTAATGATTGTTTCAGCAAGGCTCTGATCACTGATCCTTTTCCTGAAATATTCCTCTTTCTGAGGATCACTGAACCCTCGTACCTCTGTTACCTGGTTAATACAGTTAGGAGGGATCTGATTGGCTGCTGCTGGTCGAGTAGTTATCCATAGGAGAGCAGAGGAAAGCAGATTCCCCTTGATGAGGTTTGTCAGCAGCGCATCCACTGAAGCTGACTGTGTAACATCAAATACGCTCTGATTGTTCTGGAAATGTAGAGGAAGTCGACATTCATCCAGACCATCAAAGATGAACATGATTTTGTAGTCATAAAAGTCTCGTGGTTTTATTTTTTTTGTGTCTTTGAAAAACTGATGAAGAAGAGCCAACAGACTAAGTTTCTTTTTGATCAAATTAAGCTCTCTAAAAGGAAGTGGAAATATGAAGAGAACATCCTGATTGGCTTTTCCTTCAGCCCAGTCCAGAATGAACTTCTGCACAGAGACTGTTTTTCCAATTCCAGCGACTCCTTTAGTCAGCACAGTTCTGATGGGTTTGCCTTTAAAGATGTCATTGCATTTGATGGGCGTCTCCTGTGTTGCTGGTCTCCTGGATGCTGTTTCAATCTGTCTGACCTCATGTTCATTATTGACCTCTCCACTCCCGCCCTCTGTGATGTACAGCTCTGTGTAGATCTCATTCAGAAGTGTTGAGGTTCCAGGATTTGAAATTCCTTCATTAATTTTCTGACATTTTTCCTTCAGTGTGTATTTGAGCTTTTGATGACAGGAAGGAGCCAGTTCTAATAAAAAGAGGAAGAAATAAGAATATATATATTACATATTAACATTTAATTTTGCATTACTACAAACATAATATGACATAGTTTCATCACAAAAGGATGTTCAAAGGATGTTCATGTTGTAAATTAACCATAATTGTTACTGAACAGTGATGAATATTAATAACAGCATCATCACAATATAAACTTTTTACATTTGTGTACATAATGAATAATCACATAATCCTGATCTCTTACTGGTCTGTAATGTGTTGGCGAGGTCTGTCTGGTTCATGTTCCTCAGGACGTGCAGTGTGATCTTCAGCGCTCCCTCTCTGACACTCTGATCCTCCTCATCCTCCACCTCTCTCTCAGAGCATGCTGGGTAATCCAGACTCAGTAGCTTCACAAACCTCTTCAGCTGATTCTTTACCAGAGAGATGACTTTGTGCTCCAGCTCCTGATTAAAAAACAAATGATTACAGAAATAGAGGCCTGTTAACCAGTGTAACAGTATGGTTTTATTTAGTAAAAAGCATGATATATACATTATTTGCATGATAATATTTATAAAGTTAGAAAGATTATTTTTTGTAATACATTTCATGCACAAAGGCTGTGTAAGTGCTTTACATAAATAAAAACAAAATAAAAACAGCATAAACACAGACAGTTCTCTTTCCAAAAATGTGTTTCCTTGGCAAAAACACGTTTTGCGCTCACATTAGTTGAGAGATTAAAATACGAATTTGTATTACATTATATCAGGGATAAAGCAGAATCACTGCCTGTTACCACTAGATAAAATGCAAATCATTCTATCCAACCAATAAAATTTCTAAAAGTGCTATGAATATTCAAAACAGTAAATTGTTATTATGCTAAATGAATAAAACTGCTCTAAAATGAAACATTAAGCAATGTGAAAATGCAAATTATGTCATAAATTATGATTGTAATACACTATAAACAATATCTGTTGTTCTTACTAAAACAAAGTAATTTTGCTCCCTTATATGTTGACTTTAATTAGTTAACTTATTATTTACATTTTAGTTTGATAAATATATTAAGGCAGTCAGAGTAATTAACTATTCAGTTAAAACACAATCATTTTTACAGTGCTATGTTGTCATTTACACCTACTTGGAATAAGAGCTTCTTGTTTCTCCTGGTAGTGTCTGGCGTCTCCTTCTGTTCTCTGTGTGGGAAACTTAACATTATTTTTTCATGTTTATATACTTTAACAGCACTTTTAGGACATCATCATATATTCCAACACATTCATTTAAACTTTTAGTTATTAACACTGTGAAAGATAGACAATGAATTATACAGTCATTAGAACACATCATCTCCCACTGGAGTTTTAGTAATCCACTAACACTCCAGACAGCAGATAATATTGATCCATTATTGTTTTTCCATCAGAATCATCATTTTGGTTGAGTTGTATCAGGTTTGTGTTGTATCAGTGTTATAATTATTGATATATTAATTAATATATTAATATCAATATCATGATTTTTTTCAGTATTGATTCAGGGTGCAAAACTGGTTAAGAATCACCATCAGATTAGAGCGCTGATTCAATGACATTAACATTGACACTAACATTGATTTAACAGTGATTTAGTGACTGATTGATGTCTGAAATTCTGCTTAATAACCAGGACTGTCTGTATGATGTAGAGGCAGCACATTATACAAAACAGACAGCAGATGATGATGGTGAAGTGTAGACACTCGTCACAAAACAAGTAGTGAAGAGTGGGAGTGCATATTATCAGCTATTAACTATAAGAAAAGAACTGCAAGTATGAAACTGATTTAACCCCTAAACCTCCTCTCTCTCAGTCCTGTGGCCTTGTTTATAAACAGCGCATTCAAATAGACACAGATCAGGAATGTGTGCACTTAATCACACACACACACACAAACCAGGACTTATAAGGAAATACATGGTGTGAAATTGTGTGTATGTTTATGGAAGCCCATGCAACTCAAGCAAATGTACATGAGCTTCACTGACTGATGGTAAAAAGAGAAAAAATTCCAGGCAATGATTACTTTAAAAGTGAAAATGAAAATGTATGAAATAAAATCCATGTTTTTCTTCTAGAAATGTAATAAAGCAAAAATGAAAGTATGACATTTCAGTAATACTCAAGCAAGGTACAACTCTTCCAGAATAATACTGAAGTACATCAACAAATCACTTAAGTATCTTCCACTTATGTATGTATATGTGTCTGCATGTTTGTGAGTGAGTGTGTGTGTGTGAGAGAGTAAGGGGGGGTGGGGGTTGTGTTACAGAAGTATTTGTTCTGCTGGAATTTGTGTTCAGGTTAAATGTGTTTGAAGACTCATTCTGTACAGTACAGCATATTGTTATTTTCCATGTAATGCTATTTATCACACAGAATAAAGAAATATGAATGGGGCAGGACATATGTTATGACTGTGCTGCTCTTGCTTGTTTAACAATTTGTAAGAAAATTCAAGCCTTTGAGCCATTGTCCCATCAAGAACACTGGAGTTCAGAGAGAAAGTAGAAGCGTCTTTAAATCTCACTGTTCAGTTTCACACCATTCTTACCTGAACTTAGTATATATTTTTCTGAAGTCTATGAATTTTCCCTTTGACTGGTCACTCTTCATGGACACACAGCTGGGTTCAGATGAATCAGATCTCTCACCCTGAACCAGTCTGAAACACAAACAATATCAGACATGACCTGTAAACTTTTCTGCATGTCTGTGTGTGTGTGTGTGTGTACAAAAGCCTTTTTGTCCATGCACATAAGATGCTAACAAGCTATGAGTTTTAGAGAACCTGACTTCATGATAGGGGTGAGCAGGAAACCAGAGTAAAAGTGGATACCAGTATGATGTTCTCTCACGATGTGAATGTTGCAGCACCATGATAAACCCAAACGCAGAGAACCACAAACAGCGCCGCCCCAAGACTAAGTAAACATGAGCATGAACAGCTTAAACAAAACTGCACCGCTGAGTGCTGCTTACAGACGCTCCCACGTTAATCAGTATATTTGCACAAAGCGAGTTAATTCACTGCGAGCGACAGAGAGCACGTCACTGCGAGTGACAGAGAGCAGCACACCTTAGAACTTCAGACCGAGCAGCGTCCAAACTTTACTTGAGAATTAGTTGAAAATTCTGCAGTTAGCAGGCCGCTAACCCCCTCACGCCTCTCCCTCTTATTTTGTCTTCTCCCTCTCTCTTTCTCTATCTCTCTCTCAGTTATTCCCTCAGCCCATCCACCATGGCGTCCGCCCAGAAACGCGCCCTCCAGACCCTGAGCGCAGAGTTGGCCCGGCTGGACCGGCAGATCACCGCCCTGCTGAAGAAGCAGGACGAGCTCCTTCGGCAGAAGTCGATGCTCGAAGTGGCCCGGGAAGTTTCCCCCTCGGTGGTGGTGCCAGCCTCGTCTTTCTGCACGCCGGGAGACGCCGTTCTCACGCCAGCCCCGCATGGTCCCTGGGAACGCCAGCGCCGCAGAGGGCCCTGCAGACCCTCACCACCACCCCAGCCGATCTTCACCTCCGTCGTTAATGAAATTATTACCGATCACAGCTTTGATGCTCTGTGCCTCACAGAAACATGGATTAGACCCGATGACTACTTTAGTCTAAACGAAGCCACACCCCCAGGCTACAGCTATGCACATAGCCCTCGTTTAAGCGGCCGAGGTGGAGGTATAGCAACTATCCATACTAAAGCTTTAGGCGTGAGGCAGAAAGTAGGCTATACATTCTCTTCTTTTGAAGTTCTTTTTCTTAATATAAGTAATCAAGGAGCACATAAAAATTCCGTTACACTAATTACAGTCTACAGGCCACCAGGGCCGTATTCTCAGTTCTTACAGGAATTCTCTGAGTTTCTATCAAGTCTAATAACGCTTTCAAATAAAATAATAGTTGTCAGAGATTTTAATATCCACTTAGACAATCCCCAAAATGCACTAAGCAAGGCATTTATATCTATCATAGACTCCATAGGTTTCACCCAAATCATAAAAGGGCCCACACACTACCACAACCACACTCTAGACTTAATACTGACTTTTGGTGTAGACATAGATAACTTAGCCATTCTCCCTGAGAGCACAGCAGTCTCTGACCATTACTTAATCTCTTACAAAATTCACTTTAGTGGTAATGTGCATTCATCACCATGTTATTGTGTCAAGCGGACAATAACTCCCTCCACAGCTGGTGGCTTTATTAGCCTATAGCAGCAATGATTTTATGAATTTCTTTAGTGATAAAATTGAAAAAATTAGGCAGAAAATTCAGAATACGCAATTAAACTCTAGAAACCTGCTTCCCCATAATGCCAGCCTCAACCTTGAAAATATTATAATTCCTGCAGAGAGGCTGGAATCGTTTACCTTACTCCAAGAAAATTAACTAGTTAAAATAGTCTCTTCCGCAAAATCATCTACCTGTATGTTAGATCTGATTCCTACAGGTTTACTCAAGGAAATTCTGCCAGAAATAACCAAGCCTATTCTGCCAACAATAAACTCTTCTCTTAGCCTTGGGTACATCCCAAAATCTCTTAAACTAGCAGTAATTAGACCGCTGATTAAGAAAGCGAACTTTCAAATTATAGACCCATCTTGAATCTCCCCTTTATATCGAAGATCTTGGAAAAAGTTGTAGCAAAACAATTAAGCTCCTATTTGCATAGGAATCAAATACAAGAAAAATTTCAATCTGGTTTTAGGCCACATCATAGTACAAAAACAGCACTAGTAAAAATTGTAAATGATCTATTATTATTTTCTGACCAAGATCATGTGTCCTTGTTAGTCCTCCTCGATCTTAGTGCAGCATTTGACACAATAGACCACGCTATCTTACTTGACAGACTAGCAAACCTTGTAGGGGTAACAGGAACAGCTCTATCCTGGTTCCGGTCCTACCTCACTGATCGGTATCAGTTTGTTAATATAAACGGTGAATCATCTGTTCTCACAAAAGTAAAATATGGTGTTCCACAAGGCTCTGTTTTAGGACCTGTATTATTCACATTATATATGCTGCCACTAGGCACCATTATCAGTAAACATGGCATAAACTTCCACTGCTATGCCGATGACACTCAGTTATATTTAGCAAGCGACCCAGATGATAGAATTAAACTTAGCAAGATTGAAGACTGTATAAAAGACATAAAGGACTGGATGTCGAGTAACTTTCTCCTTCTAAACTCAGATAAAACAGAGGTTCTGCTTCTTGGTCCAAAGCGGCTAGAAACAGACTGTCTAATTTAACACTTAAACTTAGCAATTTCTCAGTTGCATCAAGTTCATCTGTAAAAAACCTTGGTGTCATTATAGACCCTGATCTGTCCTTCGACGCACATATAACTAATATTACTAGAACAGCCTTCCTCCATCTCCGCAATATTGCTAAATTGAGAAATGCATTGTCTCTACAGGATGCAGAAAAGTTAGTTCATGCATTTATTACTTCAAGGCTAGACTACTGTAATGCCCTGCTGGCTGGATGTCCCAGCAAAAGCGTTAACAAGCTTCAGTTGGTCCAGAACGCTGCAGCCAGAGTCCTTACAAGACCCAGAAAGTTCGACCATATCAGCCCAGTTTTATCAGCCTTACACTGGTTACCAGTAAAATTTCGGATTAATTATAAAATTCTCTTGCTGACTTATAAAGCACTAAACGGACTCGCCCCTCAGTACCTGAGTGAACTTCTCTCTCACTATGAACCATCACACCTACTTAGATCACAAGGTGCTGGCTTACTATTAGTACCTAGAATTCATAAAGTTACGTCAGGGGGGAGAGTCTTCTCATACAAAGCCCCCCAGCTTTGGAATAGTCTTCCTGTTAATGTTCGGGACTCAGACACAGCCTCAGTGTTTAAGTCTAAGCTAAAAACTTACTTGTATAGTCAAGCCTTTGGTAATTAGTTTTCCCTGTCAGATCCAGACCTGCCAGAGTCTCTGCTAACACTGTAATTTGTGATCAGTCACCCATTACAGAACTGACTCTGTGTGTTTTCCTTTCTTTTCTTCGCCGAGTTGAACAGCTGCCCATCCTGTGCGTTCTGATGCTGCTGCCTTTTCTGCCTCGATCGGGGGCCACTGCTCGTCAGCCCTCTGGACCGGCTTACCAACATTGAGCCTCCTGCTGTACAACGCCGTACAAACCTCACCCTCACAACCTGACCCCACTGATACTACTGCTGTTGCTGCATGAACTAATCAAAATTATTCACTTGAACCAATCAATCATTCAAACTAATTCAAATTAATCAATCACCCATTGTAGAACTGATTGTGTGTTTTTCCTCTCTTTCCTTTGCCGAGTTGAACAGCTGCCCATCCTGATGCTGATGCTGCTGCCTCTGCTGCCTTGATTGGGTGCCACTGCTCACCGTGTAAACCTCACCCCCACAACCTGACCCCACTGATGCTGCTGCTGCTGCCGCTGCTGCTGCATGAACTAAACTATTTAAATTAATTGTTTGCTCCACCTTTTACCCTGTTTTTGTACTATAATACTTTATACTAACAATGTTTACTATCCGGTGTCGACCAGAGGAGGATGGGTTCCCCTTCTGAGTCCTGGTTCCTCTCAAGGTTTCTTCCTGTTTATCTTAGGGAGTTTTTCCTTGCCACTGTCGCCACTGGCGACGCTCATGGGGGCTTGGACCCGGACTTCTTTTTGTAATGCTCATTTCCTTGTAAAGCTGCTTTGTGACAACACCTGTTGTAAAAAGCGCTATATAAATAAACTTTACTTACTTACTTACTACTTACTAATTATTGGCCACATGAAGCATCATGAACATGCTGTGCGGTGTTCACACGTATCTTTACTTTGTGAGGCTTTCTACTTTATCTCTTTTGTTTCGCTCTGTTGGACCAGAGCCATGACTCTGTGTTGGACAAAACAGGTTTTTCCCGTCACTCAAGGTTGCCAGATTCATGGTTTCTCTGACAAATCCGGCAAGTTCTAAAATCCAATGCAGGTAGAAATTATACTACAATGGTGCAAAAAGTCATTGTTTGGACTACTTTCTAAATATGTTAATATTTAAAAATGATGTTGTGATCTTACACGCTGTTTCAAATGTTCAAGTTTAGACATTTGGGGTCAGTTTAAAACTGCAACAGCTCACATGTGCTGGACATTCACACAGTGTTTGTGCTGCTGAGCAGATCAGCAAGAAATGATTTATTTGTGTTATGATAAAATACAGCTCTGAGCATTATAATGAACACACACACTGACCTACATGTGTTTACAGTACATACACGTGAACACAGGGCCATGTGCACAAACACACACACACACACACACACACACACACACACACACATACATTTGTTCTGAAATGAAATTCAAAAGCAACAACCAGTTTAACGATATAATTGAACATTAATTAAGGTTAAGAGACCCTTATTAGTCCCACAACAGGGAAATTTTACCTATGCATTTAACCCATCAATGAAGTGAACCACCACATACACACTACTGAGTACACACACACTAGGGGGCAGTGAGCACACTTGCCTGGGGCAGTGGGCGGCCCTATGCCTTGCTCAAGGACACCTCAGTGACGTACTGTTGGCTCTGGGGATCGAACCGGCGACTTTCCGGTCAGAGGACCGGTTCACTACCATCCAGCCCATGACTGCCCCCAATAACAATCAATAACACAGGTGCCAAATATCACATCCTTACAAACACAAGCATGAGAAAAGTTAACATCTCTCTGCCTTCATAAAACCACAGACAGACACAAACCAGCTCTCCTTCATAAAACCACAGACAGACACAAACCAGCTCTCCTTCATAAAACCACAGACAGACACAAACCAGCTCTCCTTCATAAAACCACAGACGGACACAAACCAGCTCTCCTTCATAAAACCACAGACACACACAGACCAGCTCCGCTGGTCAAATGACATGTTTAGTTCATTTTCTAAATGTAAATAAGTTAAAACATCCTCTACAGAGACACACTTCTGGACTGAGTTTGTTTACTGAGTTTAACGTGTTGGGGAAGAAAAACATAAACCTTGGCCTGTGCAAAAGTTATGGCACATTTTATATTATATTTTGATGCAGGTGAGACTGGAAATGAGGATCTTTCTCTACACCATTCTTACTGAAAACTGTCTTTACCTCAGCTCAGTAGAACAGTCCTCCTCTCTGAAGAGTGGTGGATCGTCCATTGACCGGTCACTCTTCATGGACACATGACTGGGTTCAGGTGAGTCTGCTCTCTCTCTCTGATTCACACTTAAACACAATATAGAAATATGAATATATGAGTCTTAATAACAAAAAACACCAATATAAAGTGAATTTAAATCTAAGTATACTGGGAGATTAGTTAAATTTCATATACGTTTTCAACCAGTAATACACAGTAACCTATAATAACATCAATAACAATATTATGCAAATTATTATTTTATTTTCTGACTCAGTCTTTCTTGATGTTTCTCTTCATGAACGTTGGATTTCAGAGAAAATAGCAGCATAATTATTTCTCAATCAGTGTCACATCATCCTGAGCTCTGTGGATCTGTTATCATCTCTGAAGTTTTCTAATCCCTCCTTTGACTGGTCACTCTTCATGGACACACAGCTGAGTTCAGGTGAGTCTGATCTCTTACCCTGAATCAGCCTAAAACACAAACAATACCAGACACGTCTCTAACATGTTGGTGTGAAAACATAATTGTTTTACATCAAACCACATTTTTCTCTCACCTCTCAGCTTCCTGTGTGTCCTGATCCACAGAGACGCTCATTTTGGAGGTCATCTCTCCTCCTTCAGATTACACCTAACACACACACACACACACACACACACACACAGAAAGCATTAAACATATTTAGTCATCAAGTCAAAAAGTAAATTCCAGCTGTTGAAACTTCAGTAACTACCTCTGTTCTTTCTCTCCACACGTTGTTTTTCATGCTTTCTTCACAGAAAAGACGCTGCTGAAGATTTAGTTTCACATTAAACTCGTTTGAAGTGGCTCAGTTCGTCACCACAGCAGGAAGTGCTGGTGTTTTTTTACAGGCTGAAAAGGGTTGATTGATGTGTTCTTTGACCAATCACAGCTCTCTCTTCAGCTATTTATCGGAATAGTTGGGCCAAACTTTCACCATGAAAGGCTCCTGCTGTGTAATGTCTACTTATTACTGATCTGTTTCAAACACTCAGTGCAAAGATCCTTTATATGATCCAGCTTCCCATATTTCAGACATGTTTCACAGTATCTTTCTGAAGTAAACCATCCTAGAGACTCAGTTAGGGGCCCAGTTAAACCATCATAAACCCATTAGAGAATATCTTTACATTTTACACAGAAAAGCTCTCTTGTTTGTTGTTGAATGTTAGCAGCTCGTACATGAAGTGTGTTATTCAGTGAAACTGTCCCTTATGTCTCTTTCATGTATGACCTCTGACCTCTGGCTCTCACTCACACTCACACACTACTGTACACAACACACACACTTAAGTTAGTCATAAAGAAAACTGGTACTGGCTCAGTGCAGTGACCCTGTCCATTCATTCACTGTGTAGCTGAAGGAATGGCTGGAGATATAGTGATATCATCTAATAGAGGAGAGTTCTGTGTGAAAAGACTTCATAGTTCTGTTTATACTTTCAATATGAGATGTTCTGGATCTGACATACAACCAAAAATATAATTATATTCAAAATAAAATATGATTAAAATTCAGAATAAATGTACTGATTTTAGGTGAACCCCATTCCAGGTCAGTAATGATGTCCTGCTGCAGGTAGAATTTCATTAAAGCATGTTTAAAAGCCCTCTAGCTCAGAGCTGCTGTAGCAGAGAGAACACTAAACTGTGCAGTGCAGAACTGCTCCAGAACTGAGAGTGAAGAACTCACCTGTAGTGCTTTGTTTCCTTTAAATCCACCAGAGAAGTGAGTGTCAGTGGAGGAGGAGAGAGGATGGACACACTGACCACAAGCAGATGATCCAGCATGGTCGCTTTGGGGCTCCACCAGCTGGAACAGTGCTGGAGCAGCATGCTGTGCTACTGGACTCCTGTGGTGCGTTCCAATCAGGGGGCAGCTGTCTAAGTAGGCAGCATTCTAAGGCAGCATTTGTGCGCTCCCGAGTCAAGTGCTGTCCCATTCGGAAATCTGAAGGGAGCATCACATGTATCCTTCTCAGCGAAGGCAATACTGTTCACCCGCCGAGGGTTTCATCGCTCCGGTCTGATAAACATGGCGGATGAAGCGGCCTATTTTGCCGACCGATGAGTTTACAAATGTGAGTTATTTCTTCATTTCTGTCTTTACTGTTTTGATTGATTGTTGTATTTGTGTAAAGAATTGAACATATTTGTGTTTGTAGATCTCTAGAAATTGTTCCTATGGTGAAATTCTGGCAGTTTGCTTGTCTAAGGCGAATTAACCGGCTGCGTTTGTAGCTCGTTAGCTAGATAAAACCAGCATTAGTTAGCTTAGCTAGCGGGCTAACTGTAAACGCGCCGGCTCTTCAACACGAGAGTCTGGTTTAAAATACTGGCTGTTCACTGTTTAGTAGCATTTAGTTTTGTTTAGTGTTGGAACTCAGGGGTTTTTCTGTCCTCAGGAGCTAATGTTACAGCAGTGGAGAGGTGCTGTCTGAGGGGCTGAGGAAGAGGAGCTGTTACAAGGAGAAAACTGCGCTGAATGACCGAAATCAGCTGACTTGCCGAGCGTATTTGGGGGGAACACAGCGGGTCCAGCGCTATAGAATGAGGTTCTCCCTGAACGATGAAAAATAATTTAACTTATGTAGAAGTTCAGAAATAAAACGTTTTTAAATAAATACTACAGATGCTTATTTTGCTCCTCTGCTTGTCTTGTATTGCTGTACTTACCACAGTCAAAGAAGTGTGAGGTGAATGTTGACGGCTTAATTTCAGACTAGGAGCTCATAAATCAGATGAGAATGCATAAAATAAAATGCATATTAGCTGCTTAACAGATTGTGTGGGATCCCTTTTTCTTATTATCCCTTATGTATTATAAATTATACATAACATTACTGTTTAACCTTTGTGTGTTAGAAATAAAGCAATTTCGTTAAGGTGGATGAGGACGGAATGAATTAAAATGATTTATAAACTAACGTTAACAGTCATGATTATCTGTATTTATCTGGGCTGCTAAGTCGAGTATATAACGATAGATATGACTCCTTAAATCAGCCGGTTCTTCATAAACAAATTTCCACAACAGTGCCAGTGCAAGAAAACGGCTGCTGCAGATTCAGAGCCGTCCTTTCACACTGAGATGATCCACCTTTAGTCAGAGGTGAGCGTAAACTAACGAGCGACTACGAGTGAAGAGATAAAACATGAACAACGCAGTGAAAGTTATGACGTATTATGGCTCTGAAGCGCTGTCCCAAATGCAATGCCTACTAAGGTTCCTTTTCGGTTAAAATGCTGCCCAACAAGAGAGCTGCCTTTGAAGGCAGTAACAAGTAGTTCAGAATGGAACACACTACTGGATTAAAGGAAGCAGATCTTTTCAATTGGACACTCGTACCCACTGCACAGAGACATTATGACCTACGTGTTATAGTTGGTCAGATAACAGTCAGTGTTAGAAATAAGCTCACGATTAGCCAGTGCTAATAAATAACGTCAGCTATGAGAAACATGAGACTAACGTGTTAATAAGCTCTACAGTAACTGTGGACATTAAACGACAGACTAAACCTCATATTCAGAGATACTTTAGCTGAATTTCTCCACAAGCAGAAGTGAAAGTTGCTGTTTGTGAGCTTAAATGTTGATTTAGCTGAGTCCTAATTTTAGCTAAAGGCTAAAGAACACAGTACACAGTTCAGCACAGAGCCGTGACTAGACTGTACCAACATCAGGGGCTGAGCCCACGGCCCATTTTACATGGTCACATGGTCACTCAGCCTGTCCTCTAGAGTCCAGAGCGCCTCCACTATAGACTGTAAACCAGTTTGTCAGTTCAAACTAAAACGTGTCAGTATCTTTATCTGAAAGAATGAAGTGCATGTATAATTACCAGCTGATTAAATAAATGTATCTGTATCTGCTGGAGCTCCATATAATCAGAACACTAATGTCCATATTACAGTATGTTGTCCTGCCTCCCTCTGTCCCTTTGCTCCAGCTCTCACCTCCTCTGCTGTGTCTGTTTCTTTCATGGTCAGTTCTTGTCCTCTCTCAGCTGCTTTAGTGTTCAGCTCCTCTCCAGCCTCTTCTACACTCTGCTGCTGCTGCTACATTTAATTCAGTACTTTAAAATGGAAAAATATGAACATGAAGCTCTTTCTCATAATCACCTTTTCCTGCTGTCTCTTTCTGGCACTCCTTAAACACCGTCTAATGTCTGTAATTGTTTGAAAAATAATGACTAATGAAGGAAACTGAGGAAGTAAAACACACACAGTAGTAAAATTATATTTAGCTAGCCTGGTTTACTGATAGCAAAACAGAGTCTCTTCTTTTTTTACCACCATTTTATTCAAACTCTCCGTTCCACCTTAAATGACTTAAATGGTGCAGAATTTCGGTTCAGGCGCCTGTGATCTGCTGCACCATTTAAGGTGGAACGGAAAATTCGAATAAGAAGCCAACCGACAAAATAAGTTCACTGCTAATATCTGCACCATCTTATGTCCCACAGCTGCTGAGCTGCTGTTACAGCGGTGCATTATCGTTAGTGTGTAGCGACTGTTGTTTATTTAGTGGCGATGGTGTGTAGATGTTGTGAAGAAAAACTCCGCCGATTCTGAGTTGCTAGCAAACGGTTTATTACATAGTAAAACAGTATCATATCAAGCACTATAAAGCACCTGAGAGAGGATCCGTGCCAATTCTAAATGTCCTCCCCCGAACAGAATGACCAACAGCATATATATATGGTTCTTGTTGTTGAAACAGGAGACAGAGCATATGGTTCTTTTTAAAATGATCTCATCTATTTGGACCTAAGAGAAGAAGGGAGAAAGTGAGAGGCCTACTCCCAATGGGAGCAAAGGGCCCCCAACTCACATTCCTAGCCCCTGCACAATCAGAGCACACAGGGAACTCCTAGATACTTGGAACTTCAGACATCAGCTTATACTCAATGTTAAGAGTGTTTTTACCTTCTTCTATAAAAAGGTTCCTTTTTAAATATACTTCACGACGTTATGGTAAAAATAATGACCGTTAATGTCGTTCGGTCTGTTTTTCTGCTGTAAACAAATGTTAACATTAGCTGGACTAACACTGAACCCGAACTAGCCTGTCTGCCGTTAGAGCTGCTACCTGTCTAACAAGATAACGGTACCTGAGATTACAGCACAGTTTAAACGGATTACAGTTCAGTTAATGTTAGTCTGCACCGCTAACCTGTCTAAGATGGTGTTAATCTGTAAAACTCCACTAAAGTAAAACAACTAAAGCTCATTTTTCTCATTTCTTTTCAGACTTTCATCGCAGCAACGCGCTCTCACTGCTGCTCGGCTCTTTGGCTCCAACGACGCCTCCCAGCTAGTGAATCGTGGAGAGTTGCATCGGAAAGAGTCAATTTTTTGACTTGAAGACGTCTTCGCCAAAGATTCTGAGAGTCGAGATGCTCGGAGTCGACTCTTTTATTATTGTTTATAGATATATTATATTTGATTTCTCTTTTAATCTTAGAAAAAGATCTGGGGCTGGTAAAACACTGTTGGGGTCTGCAGCCCAATGGCCCGAACCGAGTCACGACCCTGATTCAACACATACAACTCACAGTAAACTGGATTAAAACAGCAAATGAGAAAAACACAGAGGAACTGGCCACAACTTAACTGGGTAAAAGTGATAATGAGAAGAAATACAACCTGATATTTACACTACAGACTCACAAACACCATCATTATTAATAAACTGATCAATATAATGAATCATTAAGACTGATTTGACTGAGACTCTTAAACTGTGAGTGACTGATTCA